ATAGTCACTAAAGACTCTTGTTTAAAGGGAGATTTTTGTCTCAATAGTTTTTGTACTTTCTTTTATACTATTAGTTTTCTCGTATGTCAGTTAATTGAACAAACTTCATTATAATGTTCTTTTATAATATATTTTTATTTTGTTGTCTGATTTATTATTTTCAAATTTGTTTTATTAGCTTTCACACGACGCTTTATTATTTCGCTCCTAACAAAAATTAGTGAACTGACCGCATCCAGGTTTCTAGCTCCGTGCCTGTATCTTTATTAGAACTGACCGTGATCTTTCTCACTTAAGGCCAAGCTTTGAGGATATCTAGCCAAATTCTTCATTTTCTACGCGATGAACTAACACATAATCTGTTATGGAATATCCAATAGCTAACAAAAATGTTTCTGGGTCTTTTTATAATGTAAGTAAAGGCTAGTGCTTTTGAAATTAATAAACCAACAGACTTCACATTAATCACCAGCCCCTATAGAACAAATAAATATTCGTCAATTTGCGTGAAAGGTAAACATAAATAAAATTGTATATAGAGCTGAATAGTCTTCTTTTTTTAAATAAGATTTGTGATGTTTGGCTATAATTCTATACTTTGTGATGTAATAATGATAATGTATGTGATATTTGAACTTAATTGAGTTAATTTTATGTGTAAAAATATTTGGACATAAAGTAAAGAAACGTTACTCAAAGTGGTACCAAAAGCGGCAAAGTAGAGCACGAAAGAACAATGGTGCAAGGCAGCAAAATTCTAGCGCCCAGAACGCTGCAAGGCAGTGAAATTTCACCGCCCTTAACAGCACGAGGCTGAGCCAGGCGCGCCAATGCATCCGGGCTCCATAGCGTGAGGCGATACAGTTTGAGGGACTCACATGGCGCGATGCAGTGGCGTGTCTATCCGAAGCTATTTCGTTTTCTTCTCAGTTTTGGACTTGGTTACTTCAGCCTGGACTTTACCCTACCTTATAAATACTTCCTAAACTCGTTTTTGAGGGATTGGACATATTTTGGAGCAAATTATGCTATATACCCATAAAAGACAAAATATTTACCCGTATCTACCCATGTTTATTTCTATTACATTTTATACATATGCGGCACATTTATTTTACCCGCTCTATCCATTCTTATCTTTGCCATTGCTTAGCATAAAAGTTCAATTCTCAAATTCATATGCACCTCTGTTGTATCTTTTAAGTGCACCACATTTTTCTAATATGTTTTATATCTTATCATGATAATACTAATTAAAAATAATATAATATAATATAATATAATATTTATTAAATAATATATAATATTATACAAATATATGAACCTGGAGAGCACAAGAAAATATTATTATTATTATTATTTTGAAGATTTATTGTTTGATTCTATGTGAGTCCTATAAAATATTATTTATAGTATCTACGAGTAAGCTTCCCAGATCTAAATTTTTATATGTATTTGAATATCCACCATTGTTGGGCATGAAGCTCAATTTTATTTTTGAAGATTTCTTGTTGATTCAAAGTGGGTGCTGTTAAAAAATACTTATAGTACCTTCTGGAAGTTCATACTGAAATTTGATAGCATTTGGAGCTGATTGGAGGTGAATGAGATCGAATTTTTCAGTTGAAAATCGAGGAAGAACGCAACTACTCAATAGTATACCGCTACGGTATACAATATGTTGTAGGAGGATATAGCTTTACTGCAATAATATACTATTATAGTTTACAATATACTGTAACGGTATATTGTAATAATCGAAGAAGAATACAGTTACCTAACAGTATACTACTACAATATACAATATACTATAGGAGTATATAGTTATACTTCAACAGTATACTATTAGAGTATACAATATATTGTTATAGTATACTGTAATAATATGCAAGATACGGTAACAGTATGATGTAATAGTATACAATATACTATAATAATATACTTATTACCCGTAAATTCACTTGCATATTTGCTTTACGCTTTTACCCAGCGTGAGGGGCAAATTGAAAATGTAATATATATATATATATATATATATATAATGTAATAGTATACTCTTACAACTAGACCCTTTTAGAATTTTTTGAATTTTTTATTGACAAATGATATTATTTTAGTTTAATAATTGAATTCAAAAAAAATTTAATTCTTTGCGTACAATTGTATACCCTGTTGGCATAGCTATATACTATACTGATATCATATGTTAGTTAATATTTTTTGGTTGTATTAACTACATTTAATTGGTACACAATTTAATTTTTCTTTAGTAACAGTATAAAAAGGAATAATAAAAAATAGTAAAAACAATAAATGAAATTAGATTATTAAGAGAAAAAGAATATAAAAAGAAGAAGTTAAATGAAATTAAAAAAGGAAAAAAGAAAAAAATAAGAAGAAAACGAGAAAAGAAAAAAAATGAAGCATATAAATAAAAAAAAATTGGAGAATAAAGAAAAACTCCCCACAAAAACTACTATGGGTAGGAAATATAATTAGTTTATGGGTACAAAAATAAATGGATAGACAAGGATAAATAGTTTTATTTTTGTGGGTAACTGTGTCATTCTCCCCATATTTTGGGAGCTCTTGAATGTTGACGTTGAACGGTTGCTTTGGTTACTTGATAATATCATATTTATTTATTTATTTTCTTAATTAATTTATGGCGTAGCTAACACTAGAATACTATTACGAATCTATAATTAAACTCAAACGTGGGAACTTTAAATTGCATATAGGATTAAATAAAGTAAGTTCTTGACTCCGGCATCAGGAATATATTTGCGATTAGGATTGACATATGCTAATTGCTTTACTTGATTACGATTAAAGGAGTTATTCATGCATGCTAGTTGAAACTGATTCTGGAGACATATAGGTATTAGATTGGCTTAAATAAGTGAGCAAATCATCAAAAGAACCTTGTGTGATGCCCTAAAAAAAATCATTAAGTGTTTGTCCTCGTTCAGTCTCTAAGTTGGATACACAACGTTATTGTGAATTCAAGTTAGAAACTTTAGATTGACGTTGTTTAACACCTTCTAATTCCTAAAACCTATGTTTCCACCCAAGAGTCAAATAGTTCTGCAAGACCTAAAATCTTGGGTTTGTGGAGGCATCATTCAAGATTTTGTGGAGCCAAATTCAGGATATCCTCGAAAGAAAAAACTTAAGTACTCCATTAAAGGTAAGTTGAGTTTACGAATTTCTACGTCAAGGGCCCGACTAGGAAATATTTGCTAATAAAATTATCTAACTATTATTGGGGACTCGAGGGTGAGTCATTTTGCTAGATCTGCAGTTCCTTGGAGTCACTTTTTTTCTAGCTATTATTGTTGCTTCATTCAGACAATATTGTATTATGTTTCAGTTAATTGTAATGTTATTCAGTGGTAGTCGCTCATGATATCATATTACCAGTCTTTGGGAGTGTTATAGTAGTATTTTTTACTGTATTTAATTTATTATTATTTATCTATGTTTGATCTTAAATATTATTTTTACTCTTGTTTAAGAGTGTTATTATTACTGTGTTGGTGGATTTGGCTCGCCTAGCCGGCGATGCTAGGTGTCATCACATCCTTGGCAGGATTTGAATCATGACAAAGTGATAGGAGAGCCTAAGTTCGTAGATTCTACGAATCATGAGCATGTTTAATCCGCGGGAGCATAGTGATAAAACTCCATCTTTTCTAGAGATATCTTAATTATAAAATTGAGGTCCATCAGATCAAGAAACATATTGTATATAAAAATTGAATTTCAACTTCAACTTCCTTTTTCAACAGGTAAATTAATCAAACCCAATCAACCTAGCACTCTAGATTCAAGTTACAATAAGTTTTTTCAATAATTTTTAACTTCACTTAGTCGTTTTAGAGTAAGGTTATCCAGATCTGAGTTGAACTTCGAGTACTGATGCTCCTTCAATAGTGTTCTGAGACTCGCCGCAGCAATAGACCAATTTGAGTACAAAACCCAGATGTATTCATCCAACAAACGATCATGATTTTGAAAAACTTCAACTCCAAATTTAGACACTCATCAATCGAAATTGAATTTTCTAGCTTTAATCTCTCCACTGAGCAATGCTATCGATTTCGTCATCAATGCCGGCGGAAGCACTTTCAAGATATATACAAAGTAGGTTAAGTTGGATAAGATTTAAAATTATGGGCCAACATTGGTTATAATGTTTGGGAGAAATTCAAAAATAGCCAGATTTACAACTGGTCGTTCAAAATTAGCCCGGTTTCAAAAGTAATCGAAATTTAGCCATTTTTTATGTAAAGATAAATTTGAGCGAAAACATTGTTCAAAACCCGAAAAATACGCCAGTATATTATGCTGGAGTTCCAGCATAAGTACACTAGAACTCCAGCATAATATACTGGAGTTCCAACAAGTATACCGGTCCAGCATAATATACTGGAGTTCCAACAAGTATACCGGTCCAGCATAATATACTGGAGTTCCAACAAGTATACCGGTCCAGCATAACAACAACAACAACGACCCAGTATAATCCCACAAGTGGGGTCTGGGGAGGGTAATATGTACGCAGACCTTACCCCTACCCCGAAGGGTAGTTCGGGGTAGGGATACCGGTCCAGCATAATATACTGGAATTTGGAGCACCGGTGCTCCAGTCTCCAGTATATTATATTGGACCCAACAAAGTATACCGGTCCAGCATAATATGCTGGAGTTCATTGACTTGGTAAACGCTGGCTATTTTTGAATGACCAGTCCGAAAACTGGCTATACCGTGCTATTTTTACTATAATGTTGGGTCAACTGTATTTTCATGTAATTCTTTCTTTACAAATTCAAAACAGGTAAAAAGAAGTTGAGAAACATTATAGTTTCTTGACATTTTTATTCCCTTTTACCTTTCTTTGTGGCCTTGAGGGAGACAGTTGAGAAATATTATAAGATTGCAAGAAATACTCGTTAAATATATTGCTAAATTTACAGAAACTACTTGCTTACTATAGTAGGATAACCAAAATAGACACCATAATTTCAATATCACTTGTAACAGTTTTCAATGGATTTTAAACTTGATACATGTACAGAAATGCCGGAATTCTTGATGTTCCATTACAAGAACTACTAAAGAGAAGCTAATACATTAGTTTCAAAGAACATTATACATCCCTCACTTTAACCCTGACTTCTGTAAGGGGTTGAACAGCCTTTTTTGGGCTTGAAGAAACAATCTTCTTCGGACTTGAAGGAACACTATTGATTTTGATTGGTTGACCGCTACTGAATTTACGAACCAAGAATGTGAAACATGGTAAAAACAGTACATAAAGCCCTGCCAGGATGAATGGAGTAGCAACAAGCCAGCCCAACAACTGTAAAATAGTTCATAAGTTCAGTAATTGAAAATCAGCAACAGAAGGACATCTTTCCCTTGCCTTATCAAAAAAGAAAAGAGATACGAAGGAACAGATGGGAAGCATTCAGGATCAGAATGGAGATTGTACAAAAGACACCCTCTATTAATTTTTCAATAGAGGTTTGACTTGGAAGTTAAACAAAGTTCCAATAAAACTTTTGGCGAATGCACAGTGACTGTAAATATCACAGCCATAAAGATGCTAATAAATTTGCATGTTCCATTGGCAAGTCATACATATGTATTTAAAACATATATGCATGGAAACTATTGACTTCGTGAACAGTCAACAAACAGGATCAGAAAAGTGTGAAATCTATTGGAAAACCAAAAAAGCAACCTTGTTTCCCTTCAAATAATTAATTATCACCACACCACACCACAGCTTTTGTTAGCACAATCAAAGAAAACTGACAAGTCCGTCTCTGTTGAAAAAAAATTCTAACTCAATATATAAAGCAGATACTGACTGTGGAAGGCTCAAGAAGTAGATCATCAGTGCAACAATCAGAAGTAGATACTGATATGAGAAAGACAGGGAAGAAAAGATGCTTGAAATGAAGCTTCTTTACTCACCGCATGGAAAATGCTCAGCAAGACTTCCCATGAAGCCTGACCAGTCAAGACCTGCTTTAATGCATCAGAGGTCAAAGCAAAATGAGATCCACCACTCACGGCTTCTCCCAAACGTAGGAACGGAATCACTAAACTGCAAAGTGAAGCACATCAAGCATTGAGGATATAAAGAATGTATCGAGAAAAAATATAATGAAAAAACATGGTTCAGAGGAAGGCTGGAAAATCAGTATTAAAGCAATTAATAGCTTTCACTAAGAGTGATAGACATCAATTCACCACTCATTTCGACAATCCTCCATCTTATCTCATTGTACC